TCCTGAGCTCAAACAATCCTCCCGCCTCGGCCTCCCAGAGTGCTGGGATTATAGGCATGAGCCACTGTGCCCGGCCTGGTTTTTTCTTTTAATAATTGATTCAGTATGATTTTATGTTTTCCTAAAATAGTAGTTGTACTTTGCTGGGAAAGCTAGAATTTCTTAACATTCATTATTACTCAAATTATAGTCCATTAGCTTTAGAATTATATTTATATTTGGCTTTGTTCCAGAAAGGATTTAAAGCAGCAATTAGTAGTATTATCTTTATGATTCCAACAAGGTTAGGTAATTTCTAGATATCTTTTACTATGATAAAATTGTCATATTCCTCCTAGTGTTCCTTTAATTGGACTTGAAATTTTATCTCCCCTCTGCAGTCACTGGTTTTGGTTCCTCCTTTGTATAAACACAGATTAGCATGATGCACAAAACTTCACATTTGCTGATCTTATTGCTGAGAGAGACCTGTCCCAGGAGAGTGGGCTGTTTGTGCAGTTGGCTGCTATAACAGAAGTTCTTTTTCCTAACTCTATTAGTTCTAAAAGGACTTTGAATTTGTAGTGCCTTCCAGTTTGTGTTTCAGAAATAAGTAAAGGGGAGGCTTAAGTTGACACAGTTTGCAGGTCCAGCTTTGAAAGAACCTCTGTCAAAAACCAAAGCCCCAACTATTTTTGCAACTTTCCTGAAAGTGTGAAAAATTTTAAAACAAAAACAAAGCCAAGGCCCCAGAAACTGAGTAGAAATTGGAAGTTAACTAGTTTTTTGTTGTTGCTCTCAAATTGTGGGATTTTAGTATAATTTTTTAAAAAATTGTTCTTTATAAATAGCAAAGGAATAAATAAGGACTGTTGTCAGTGTAGGATTTTTATTCCAGTAATCTTCTTCTGAGTTTATATAGTCCCATTTCCTTAAACCAAAGATACTGCTAGCAGTAGATAATGATGAAAATGCATGCTTGTGTTTTTTTGTTTTGTTTTGTTTGAAGACTAGGTTAATTTATGTTTTTTCCTGTCCCAGGCTCGAGCTGGAATCATTAGCACTGTAGAGGTTCTAAAAGTCATGGAGGCTTTTGTGAATGAGCCCAATTATACTGTATGGAGCGACCTGAGCTGTAACCTGGGGATTCTCTCAACTCTCTTGTCCCACACAGACTTCTATGAGGAAATCCAGGAGTTTGTGAAAGATGTCTTTTCACCTATAGGGGAGAGACTGGGCTGGGACCCCAAACCTGGAGAAGGTAATGGATGTACTGAATGGGGAAAGATTCAGTCAGAAATTGGTACTTTTTTATGTGGTGAACAATATCATTAGCATCATCTTTGTATCAACTGGATGTTACTATAAATTCAGCTAGCCAGAAATTAAGTCTTTTAAGCCTGCTGGTGAAGGTATATGGCTCACCAACATAGAAACAGTAGTGGTTATGTGTATTTATTGCTAAATATAATTTGTGTACAATTGTGGAAATAAAAGTCTTTTACAGAGTTCCAAAGGCCCATTTATAGTCAAGAAAAGTTAAAAGCAAATTTTGGATTATTTTATTTATTGTTACTATAAATAACAGGTACCTTATGTACAACTTGTAAAGGTGCTAAGAGATACAGGGGCTAGCTTTCTGAATTAAGGAAATTATTTGCTTTCTATATGTGTTCTCTCCTCCACGATTATTTCTGTAACCATATATTTACTCTTTTTGCTATCATTTAAATGTTGGGAATGGTGATTTGAAGGCTTTAAATATAATTATTTTCCAACATCTACTGGTAACTAAAGGTGGCTTTCCTCCTGACTGGTCTTAATCTGAAAGTCTTTTGAAATAAGAATAGTAGCAATGCTATGTGTCTTTCCTTCATTGATTCAACAAATATTTATGCAGCTCATAAATGCCATATACTATTCTAGGGGCCGGTGATACAGCAGCAAACAAAACATTGTCCTGTGTGGCTTACATTCTAGTGAGAGACACAGCAAACAAATATATAATGTTCTAGGTGGCAGCAAGTATCATTAAGAAAAATAAAGTTGTTGGGTAAGGTAGATAAGGAGTACTAGGCTATTATTTTATAGAAAGTGTTTGGGGAAACCATCTTTAATAGGGTGATATTTGAGCACATACAGAGACCTGAAGGAGAGAGCTACGAAGATACATAGAGGAAAAATGGCCCAGGCAGAGGGAACAGTAAGTACAAAAGACCTGAGGCAGGAGCATGCTTGGGATATTCAGGGAGTAACCCAAGAAAAGGCTAGTAAGGTTGGGACAGATAAATGAGGGAGAGGAGGGAATGGGAAGCAGATCAGATCCAATAGAACCTATGGGCTATAGTAAGAAGTTTTTGCCTTTTACATTTAGTGATATGAAATGCTAATTTGAGAGTCTAGGGCAGAGGAACATGATTTGATCTACTTGGCTGTGGGAAGAACAGACTGAAGGGAGGTAAGAGAGGAATCAGGGAGACCATTTAGAAGGTTATTTCAGTAATCCAGTTGAGGTGCTAGTTGGAACTAGCACTTACAGGGGTAAAGTCTGTTTTGAAGGTAGAATTGAAACTATTTGGCGGGGGACTGACAGTCTTGTGGAGAGAGAGGAGTCATCAAATTTTGGCCTGTGGAATGGAAGAATGACGTTACCATGTACAGGGATATGGAAGACTGCTGTAGAAGCAGGATTGTTTGCAAAAGGGAATCAGGAGTTTGGTTTGGGGAATGTTAAATTTGAGGTCCTTTTAAACATCTAAGTGGAGAGTGTCATGCCTAGAGGTCCAGGCCAGATAAATATATTTGGGAGTCATGAGAGCGTATAGATAATATTTACAGCAATAAAACTGGATGGGATCACTTACGGGCAGTATAGGAGAAAAGAGGTCTGAGGACTGGGTTTTAGGGGGAGTCCAGGATCCAGAGATTGGGTCAAAGGGGAAGAATTGCCAAAGGAGACTGACTGGCCAGTGAGGTAGGAGGAGAGCCAGGAGGGTGAGGGTTGTCCCAGAACTTAAAGAAACAGGAGATTGAGGCAAAGGGAGTGTGATCAGCTGTGTCAAATGTTGCTCTAAGCCAAGCAAAATAATGAAGGAGAATTGATATTGCACTTAAGTTTTATGGATTGGTGGGGAACAATAGTGGGTTATCCACTTTTGGAAAGAAGATCAGAGAAAAGGGACGGTAGACTTGAAGGAGATGTGGAGTCAGGGAAGGAATTTTTTTTTTTTTTTTAAGTCAGAAGATTTTATAACATTTTTCTCCCGATGAAAATAATACAGTAGTAATGGAAAAATTCAAGTTGTGAGAGAGAAGCTTTATTACTGGAGTGACAGCTAAACAATCAAGAAGAGTTGGCTAGCTCTCTGGGAGGCCGAGGCGGGTGGATTGTCTGAGCTCAGGAGTTCGAAACCAGCCTGAGCAAGAGCGAGACCCCGTCTCTACTAAAAATAGAAAGAAATTAATTGGACAACTAAAAATACATAGAAAAAATTAGCCAGAGGCCGGGTGCGGTGGCTCACGCCTGTAATCCTAGCACTCTGGGAGGCCGAGGCGGGCGGATTGTTTGAGCTCAGGAGTTCGAAACCAGCCTGAGCAAGAGCGAGACCCCGTCTCTACTAAAAATAGAAAGAAATTACTCGGACAACTAAAAGTGTGCCTGTAGTCCCAGCTACTCGGGAGGCTGAGGCAGAAGGATCGCTTGAGCCCAGGAGTTTGAGGTTGCTGTGAGCTAGGATGACGCCACAGCACTCTAGCCCGGGCAACACAGTGAGACTCTATCTCAAAAAAAAAGAAGAGTTGGGATCTAGTGTAGAAGTTAAGGAATTGGCTTTAGATAGACTCACAGAGTCATAGTAACAAAACAGGAGGGAGGTATATGGACATAGTATATTATATGGACAGTCAGTCCCTGCCACTTGAGGTAATGCAGCTAATTTAGTGGACGTTGCACTTTTCTTTCATGATGATAATATGTGAAACCTTTTGAGTCCAAAAACACCTTTATAATATAGGGAAAATGGCATTAGTTTGCTAGCTATACAGGTGGGAGAATCAAACATATCAAAATGATAAAACATTGCCTCGCATCACAGACCAAGTTAGTACCAGAGCCAGAGTTATAAATTAGTTCTTCTAAGATTCATCACAACAATGTGCAGTTGTGTTATCTGTTGATCTCCTATGGTTTTCTTAAAAATATTTTTTATTGGCTGGGCATGGTAGCTCATGCCTTTAATCCCAATGGGGAGGCCAAGGCGGGAGGATGGCTTGAGCCCAGGAATTGAAGACCAGTTTAGGCAACATACTAAAACCCCGTCTTCTACCCAAGAAAAAAGTATTTTTTATTGAGTTATTTAAATATAGGAACACATAATTTAAATGTTAAAGTTTGATGAGTTTTGACAAATGCATACATTTTATCACCCAGAAGGTTTCCTCAGGCCCCTTCCCAATCAGTCCCTGCTGCTTGAGCCTCCTCTACCCACCCCACATAGGCAAACACTATTCTGACTTCTTTTACCCTAGATTAATATTGTCTCTTCTACTTTATATAAATAGAATCATATGTGTTCTGTTCTTATAACTAGCTTCTCTCAGCATCATGTTTTTGAAGTACATCCAGGTTGTTCGTTCCTTTCTATTTCTGAGCAATATTAATATTTCATTGTATGAATATATTACATTGTATTTGTCCATTGTACTGTTGCAGTCCATCAGATTTGTGTACTAATGTTAACTTTTTTTGAGATATAATCCACATACCATAAAATTTACCCTTTTAATGTATATAATTTCACTGTTTTTGGTATGTTCACAAGGTTGTCCAACCATCACCACTTTCTAATTCCAGAACAATTTCTTCATCCCCAAAAGAAGCCCATTGGCAGTGACTCTCCATTTATTGGCAACCACAAATCTACTTTCTATTTCATGGGTTTGCCTATTCTGGGCACTTCATATAAATGGAATCATACAATATGTGGCCTTTTGTGTCTGGCCTCTTTCACTTGCTATAATGTTTTCAAGGTTCATCCATGTCATAGCATGTATCAATACTTCATTCCTTTTTATGGCTGAATAATATTTCATTGTGTACATATACTGCATTTGTTTATCTGTTCGACAGTTGATTGACATTTGGATTGGTTCCACTTTTTGGCTATTATGAATTCTGTGCACATTTGTGTACAAGTTTTTGTGTAGACATATGCTTTCATTTCTTTTGAATATATATACCTACGAGTGAAATTGGTAGGTTATATGATAACTCTGATGAACCTTTTGAGGAGCTGCCAGACTGTTTTTCTAAGTGGCTGCACCATTTTATATTTTTACAAGCAGCGTCGAGGCTTCCAGTTTCTCCACATCCTTGTCAACACCTGATACTGTCTTTTTGATTATAGCCATCACAGCAGATATGAAATGGTATCTCATTGTGGTTTTGATCTGCATTTCCCTAATGATTAATGATGTTGAACACTTTTTTATGTGCTTATTGACCATTCGGGTATCTTTGGAGGAACAGATCCATCAGATTTTGATTTTTTTTTTTTTGAGACAGAGTCTCACTGTGCTGCCTGGGCTAGAGTGCCGTGGCGTCATCCTAGCTCACAGCAACCTCAAACTCCTGGGCTCAAGCGATCCTCCTGCCTCAGCCTCCCGAGTAGCTGGGACTACAGGCATGCGCCACCATGCCCGGCTAATTTTTTCTAGGTATTTTTAGTTGTCCAATTAATTTCTTTCTATTTTTAGTAGAGACGGGGTCTCGCTCTTGCTCAGGCTGGTTTTGAACTCCTGAGCTCAAACAATCCGCCCGCCTCGGCCTCCCAAAGAGCTAGGATTACAGGCGTGAGCCACCGTGACCGGCCCAGATTTTGATTTTTAAAATCTAAGATTTCAATTTATTGTACACAGAGCATGCTAATTCCACATATGGTCTTTCTTTGAACCTTAGGTCAAAACTGCATGATCTAAGCCTGTTCTTTTGCACATAATTGTTAGTGTAATTAACTAGACTGAGTAAACATTTAGTAAATTGGATAGTTGGCATTTGTGACTGTAGACAAAGTCAGCAAATTTATTTGCTTGCCTAGTCTGTTTAGCATTTGACTCTTATGATTTGATAAATTTAAGTCAAGTGTTCTCTTAAGTATTAAGGTAATTGGTTGTGTTTGTTCAAGACCATAGACTTGGTAGAACACAATTATAAAATATCCAGGAGGCAAATTTGCAAAAATAGGCTTTTTAAGTAGTCCTATGTCTCTTTTACTTCTCAATCAGGTCATCTAGATGCACTCCTGAGGGGCTTGGTTCTGGGAAAACTAGGAAAAGCGGGACATAAGGCAACATTAGAAGAAGCCCGTCGTCGGTTTAAGGACCACGTGGAAGGAAAACAGATTCTCTCTGCTGATCTGAGGAGTCCTGTAGGTTTTCATAATAAATTCCTTTGATTTATAGGTGACTGCATTATTCTGTAAAGTGTGGAACTTTTTTAATAGTAACCAAAACTGACCTAAGAACCGACCCACAAACCATGTCTGACTCTATTTTAATATATGCCATTTGGTCTTCAGTATATGCCAGCTGGTTTGTAGCCAGCTTCTCATTTGTTTAAAGTTTCTCAGTCAGCACTGCAGTGCTGAAAGGTGATTAGCTGTGTACGTTCCCCTGGGAGAGCTAGTGTGGTGGCTGTTACAACACGTCATCTACCTTTGTGGTTGTTTACGGGGCTGTTAGCTCCTTACCACAATTGGTATATAACATGAATACATGACTATTTACAATTTTTTTTTTACTTGTTTTCTTTCTTTTCTTAACATTAGACTATTTAAAACAAGATAAATTTAATCAAATGACTTCTTTTTTATTCCTATATTCCTTTGTAGGTCTATCTGACTGTTTTGAAGCACGGTGATGGCACTACCTTAGACATTATGCTCAAAGTGAGTATATTTGCAAAAGGCTCCCATTTCCTGAATTTGAACTTGAACAGACACAGAGTATAGCTTTAAATGGTTAAAAAAAAATCCTGGCCAAAAAAATATATGCATATTAAGAAACTATGGAGAAATATATAATGTCTGTTGATGTATACTATCAATATGGTGTCAAACTAGGCACAGTGGCTCATGCCTATAATCTGAGCCACTCAGCAGGCCAAGGTGGGAGGATTGCTTGAGGCCAACAGTTCGAGACCAGCCTGGGCAACATAGTGAGACCTTGTCTCTAGAAAAATGAAAAAATTACTAGGCACAGTGGCTCATGCCTGTAGTCCCAGTTTCTCAAAAGGCTGAGGCAGGAGGATCGCTTGAACCCAGGAGTTCAAGGCTGCAGTGAGCTATGATTGCACCATTGCACTCCAGCCTGAGTGACAGTGCCAAGACCCTGTCTCTTAAAAAAAAAAGTAGTGAAATGTCAGATGACTTTTGACTGACTGACTGAGATAGGCTGGAGTGCAGTGGCACAATCATAGCTCACTACAACCTGAAACTCCTGGGCTCAAACGATCCTCCTGCCTCAGCCTTCTGAGTAGCTGGGACTACAAGTGTACAGCACCACACCCAGCTAATTTTTTAAAAAATTTTTGTATAGATGGGGTCTCACTATATTGCCCAGACTGGTCTCAAACTCCTGGTCTCGCCGGGCGCGGTGGCTCACGCCTGTAATCCTAGCTCTCTGGGAGGCCGAGGCGGGCGGATTGTTTGAGCTCAGGAGTTCAAGACCAGCCTGAGCAAGAGCGAGACCCCGTCTCTACTAAAATTAGAAAGAAATTAATTGGACAACTAAAAATACCTAGAAAAAATTAGCCGGGCATGGTGGCGCATGCCTGTAGTCCCAGCTACTCGGGAGGCTGAGGCAGGAGGATCCCTTGAGCTCAGGAGTTTGAGGTTGCTGTGAGCTAGGCTGACGCCACGCCACTCTAGCCAGGGCAACACAGTGAGACTCTGTCTCCAAAAAAAAAAAAAACAAAAACTCCTGGTCTCAAGTGATCCTACTGTCTCTGCCTTCCAAATTACTGGGATTACAGGCAAACACAACTGCTCTCAGCCTATTGTTCACTGCTTTTTTTTACTTACAACGTTATGCATCTTAAATCTTAACACTGAAATGAGTGTTCGTTTTTATTAACAAGTCAAGTTCTTTAAAATTTTATCTTCAGTGTAAACTTACTTGGGGTTTTGCCCATTTTAAGCAAAAGGTTTGTTTCTGTTCTTAGAAAAGGGATAGATAGACTGGGCGCCGTGTCTCATGCCTGTAATCTGAGCACTTTGGGAGGCTGAGGCAGGAGGATCGCTTGAGGCCAGGAGTTTGAGACCAGCCTGGGAAATACACGGAAACCATGTCTCTACAAAAAATAGAAAAATTAGCCAGGCATGGTGGCGCATGCGTGTAGTCCCAGCTACTCAGGAGGCTGAGGTGGGAAGATCACTTGAGCCCAGGAGTTTGAGGCTGCAGTGAGCTATGATGATGCCACTGTACTCTAGCTCTGGCAACAGAGCAAAACCCTATCTCAAAAAAAAAAAAAAAGTTAGATGATCAGGTGTCTCAAGGGTTTGAGCTGTGCCAGGGTCCCTTATGAATGGACAGGAAATTAACTCACTTGCCTTCATAGTTTCTCTAGTTTTCCCAGGGTAACTGGCATATAATTAAACTCTGGCTTAGACAAAATGTAGATAAAACTTTCCATGCCCTTACAATGGCAGCAATCTGTTTGAAAGTTTGAATCAACAGTAATACTGTGGAACAAGGGCTGTCTCCAGTCCCTGTCCATGCAATTACCAGTCTAAAAAGAAATGTTGAGGTCAGGAGTTCAAGGCCAGCCTGAGCAAGAGACCCCATCTCTACAAAAAATAGAAAAATTAACCGGATGTGGTGGTATTACACCTGTAGTCCCAGCTACTCAGGAGGCTGAGGCAAGATACCCCATCTCTACAAAAAATAGAAAAATTAACCAGATGTGGTGGTATTACACCTATAGTCCCAGCTACTCAGGAGGCTGAGGCAAGAGGATCACTTGAACCCAGGAGTTTGAGGTTGCAGTGAGCTACAATGACACCACTGCACTGTACCCAGGGTGACAGCGCAAGACTCTGTCTCCAAAAAAAAAAAGGAAAAAAGAAACCATTTGGAGCCTGGGCAACATAGCAAGATTCCATCTTTACAAAAAATAGAAAAATTAGCTAGACATGGTGGCATGTGCCTATAGTCCCAGCTACTTAGAAGCCTGAGGCAGGCAGATCACTTGAGCCCAGGAATTTGGGGTTGCAGTGAGTTATGATGATGCCACTGCACTCTAGCCTGGGCAACAGAGCAAGACCCTGTATCAAAAAAAAAAAAAAAGAGAAAAGAAAAGAAAAAAATAAACCATTTGGTAAGAGATGAGAATTGGTTTCTGAAAGTAATTCAGGAATAATGAAGCAAATTAAAAAAAAAATTAATTCATAGTACAGGGTGTCCCAAAAGTCACCATACATAGGGAAAATGGGAAATTGTAGCTAAATGTACCTTTATTTACAAAATATTCATTATAAAATTTTACAAAATTTTTCCTCTGTAGTCTTTTTTTTACAAATATTTTTATAAAATATTCATTACAAAATGTAAAATAAGACTATAAAGGAAAAAATTTGTAATATTTTGTAAATAAAGGTACATTTAGGTACAATTTCCCATTTTCCCTATGTATGGCAACTTTTGGGACAGCCTGTATATTTGGAAGGTGGTATTAGAATGCCATCTAGTGGACTAGCATAACAGGTTCTTTTTTGGGGAAAAATGCTTCTTTGAAAGCCTGAGTTCAGACTATAAATATTGAAACTAAAAAGGACTTTAGAAATCATCTGTCCACCCCCCTTATTTTACAGATGGGGAAACTGAGACCTGGAGAGATTAAGGACTTAGTCAAAATCACATAGCTAGTTAGAGGCCAAACTGGGACTAGAACCTATATCTCCTGACTTCTTATTTTACCACACTGCTGTTCAAAAGAGCCCAAGGAAAGGAAGAGGAAACTGGGAGCTATGATGGGGTCTCCAGACACTGGTCAGTGTTAAATCTTAAGGTGGAGAAAAAGTCAAGAGAATCTGTAAATTAAGTTGTGTTGGAAAGGTATCTCTTAGAAGTTTGTAGTTCTAATTTTTAAAATTTTGTTTCTGGTTATGAGAAAAAGATTTTATATATTCACTATGGAAGATTTAAAGACAAGAAAAAACTTACCTGTAATTTAAAAAGCAGGTCACAAAAATAGCATATATAATCTCATTCCAGGTTTGGTAATATACATACAGTAATTTTATTTTTTCTTTATGTTACTTTATCTTTCTAATATTCTGCATTCAGTATGTGCTGCTTTTGCTGTTAAAAAATGTGAAGATGCAGCTGGGTGTGGTGGCTCACACCTGTAATCCCAGCACTCTGGGAGGCCGAGGCGAGAAGGTTACTTGAGCACGGGAATTCGAGACCAGCCTGAGCAAGAGCAAGACCCTGTCTCTACTAAAAATAGAAAAATTAGCTGGGCGTCATGGCCCACGCCTGCAGTCCCAGCTACTTGGGAGGTTAAGGCAGGAGGATTGCTTGGGCCCAGGAATTTGAGGTTGCCGTGAGCTATGATGATGCCACTGTACTTCACCTGGGGCAACAGAGCGAGACTCTGTCTCAAAAAAGAAAGTGAAGATGGTTACTCCCACTGATCATAGACCATCATTAAATTAATATTACCATTTTGATGTATTTTCAGGTTATTTCTCCCCTTTCATATTAAGTTTTTAAAATTTAGGATCATTCTGCTTTGTCTCTCATTGAGCCACCACACCCAGCTGAAATATTCTTCTTCTTTTTTCTTGAAAAACTTAGTACCAAACCATGAAATATTCTTTAAAATAAACTTTCAGGCCAGGCAAGATAGTTCACACCTGTAATCCCAGGCCTAGGTGGGAGGATTGCTTAGGCCAGGAGTTCAAGACCAGCCTGGGCCACATAGTGAGAACCCCCCCCCCCCCCATCTATAGGTGGTGCACACCTGTAGTCCCAGCTTCTCAGGAGGCTGAGGCAGGATTGCTTGAGCCCAGGAGTTTCAGGTTATAGTGACCTATGATCATGCCACTGCATTCCAGCCTGGGCAACTGAGCGAGACCCTAGATCTTAAAAATATATATATATCTTTCAATAATGCATTTTTTAAATAAGTAAACAATATAGTATTCAACTGTTAGATGTTTACATTATTTTCAGTTTTTCACTATTATATATTAAATTGATGATCTTTAATGGTATAAGATGAGTAATGATTAGCTTGTTCATTTAACAGAGAATATTAGCCAGATATCAGTGAAATAAAGAATTTGGCCACAACACATTTACCTTTAGATCTTGGTATTAAACTGCTCAGAACTGATGACAGGCTGTTCATCTAGTGAGCACTTATATCTAATGACTTACATAACTGTAATGGCAAATGACAAATTTAGTGCCCAGGCATCTTTTCTTTTCCCCCCAGCATATTAAGGGGGGACAAATGTTTAGGTTACACATATTGCCTTTGCCAGGCATCTTGAAAAGTATTGATTTAATACCCTGCTAGTCTTACCCAGTGGGAATGTAGAGTGGAAGTTTCACCCTATTAGAGAGAAGTTCATATAAACATATATAGAACTTCCAAGGGAAAGTTAACTATCTCTATCTTTATTTTTTTTTCCCATAGCTTCATAAACAAGCAGATATGCAAGAAGAGAAAAACCGAATTGAAAGAGTCCTTGGGGCTACTCTTTTGCCTGACCTGATTCAAAAAGTCCTCACGTTTGCACTTTCAGTAAGTTACAATGAAAACTGCTTTTAGAGGGAATTGGTACCCATTGATCTGTGGCAAGTGTCTTTGATTCAGTATCCTCTTGATCTGCCTTAACCCTGGACTGAGGCTTCCTCTTGGAGGAAAAGTGGCATCAGTTTGTATTACTGACTTCTGTTACCTCCCACTAGTGGTGAGAATTGGAAGAGGAAACAAATTCTCTCTCCAGAACGAGAACTTTGAAAACTGGGAAACTGACTTATCCCTTTGCCTACTTTTTGTCTCTTCCTCTGTTTACCCTATAAGCTCCCAAGCAAGTATCTGCTGAGAAGCCTATTTGTGCCTGTCTCATTCTCAGTTGATTTTTAGGTTAAACATCGTCCTCTTTGCTGGAAGCTTCAGGTACCCATTATTCCTAAAACAAGGAATTAAATGTTTTCAATGTGGTTACTTGAGTATCTCAACAGTATGTTGCACTTGCAAGAACTGAAAGATGTTTTGGATACATTAGACTTAGTTCTCTTTCTCTTTTTAGGAAGAGGTACGTCCACAGGACACTGTATCCGTAATTGGTGGAGTAGCTGGAGGCAGCAAGCATGGGAGGAAAGCTGCTTGGAAATTCATAAAGGACAACTGGGAAGAACTTTATAATCGATACCAGGGAGGATTCTTAATATCCAGACTAATAAAGGTATGTGAAAATTTTTATTTTGAGTAGCTTGCTAATAATGGATATTATTGAGTGACACCAATGATTCACTGTACCCATAGATTATGGTCTCTGCTCTTTAAGAGTTTTCTTATATAGTTATTGGCTTTAAGGGCTTCTCCATCCCCCATCCTATACCCTTTATAACAAACTGAAGTTGGAAGAGAATATAATGATCTGTTTTTAGGGTAAATGGAAGTTTGTTCCTAGCCTCTTTTAGTTTCACTTACTATTTAAAATCATTGTTTTTCAGCTGTCAGTTGAGGGATTTGCAGTTGATAAAATGGCTGGAGAGGTTAAGGTAAGGAACGTATTGTTTACTTTTTCACTTTTCAATCTAGTAAGTAAAAACGCTAACCTAGGTATAATCATATAGTGTTGGGATAACGTACTTTAGTGTCTCCGTGTTTTTACTTGGAGAAAGACAGCCTAGATTGAATCTTTGTAATGTCTGAAGAATTGAGAGTTGGGATTGTCTTTGAAGGCATTGAAGTATGTTCAAAGAATATGAAGCCTAGAGTCAGTTTACCTGGGTGTAAATCTGTGCTCTGCCCCACATTAGCTGTGATCTCTGAGTAAGTTTTTTTACCCCATGAGCCTGTGTCCTTGTCTGTAAAATGGGCTGATGATAAGACTGTTGTTTAGATTAAGTAACATGATGGGGCTGGAACAGTGTAGCCTCTTGATATTAGTTCTTTTTCCCTTTCTAATAACTTTTGTACGTCTGTTGTATGTAAAATGAGATTAGATGATTATGTAGTGACATTCCCCTTAGGCCTTAAAAGGTTGATAATGAGTTTGGGTATGGATCTGAACCGGGTAATGTTCAGCATTTGAGGAACAAATCTACATTGATTATGGAAATCCTAACTTTAAGCCTTCCATTGCATTTAACCGCTAAGTATTTTTTAAATGATACTTTCACTTTCACGTTCTTGAAAGCAAGCAGGTTATCAAGTATGAATTTGGAAGTTCTAAGAGCTATAATATAGTTTGGTTCACTCTATGAGCCATTGTTAGGAATAAGTTTTAAGATTTCAGATCTTCTTGAGAAAACAGTGAAAGTCTTGGTCTCTGCCTTCATTTAATTTAAACAATTATTATAAAGTTAATAAGTACTATGAAGGAGAAACACATAACAGGTTTTTGGAACAAGGTAGTGACCAAACTGAGGCTGGTAAGATATGTAGGAGCTAGACCCTTGTAGGCCATATGAAGAATTTCTTAAGAGTGGAAAACCCCCAAATGGTTTATAAACAAGAGAGTGAGTTGATCTGATATGTGTTATAAAAATTTCAGTCTGGCTGCAAGTAGAGAACAGTTTGGAATGGGGAAGAGATGATGTCGGGAAGGTAACTCTCCAGCAAGAATGATAGAGGAGGTTAGAGTAAGGCAGGGAAGGGTAGTAGAGGAGATGTAGTAATGAAAGAGCTTCACAGGCTTGATTTTGTTCATCTTTAATTCAACAATATTTATTGAGTAGCTTCTCTGTGTTGTGAACATACCTGGGAAAGGAAGAAAAAAGAGTGAAGGATAATTCCCAGGTGTCTGGTATGTAAATGTTGGTATTACTTATTGAGATAACTGGAAAAAGACTTGTATCTAACTGAGGCCCTGAAAAACCCAACCATGATAGGAGCCTTGGAGCAGGAGCCACTGTCATTTGTGTAAATAAGGTTATTGATTTCTAAAAGGTCTAGACTTAATCTGATGAATTAGTCATTCTCTTTCACACCTATGGTGACAAGTTAAAAGGAATGGCCCCATCATTTTGCCAGTTGGTATTTAAGAGTTGCTTTGGTTGTCTATGAATCCAGGTGTACTTCATTAGAAAATAGTTTATTCAAGTTTTAATAAATATTGTGATAAATTATGAACTCAGAAAGTTTTATTCTATGAAAAATGTGAGACTATGGAGTATTAAATTATTAGTATATAGAAGCAATTTAAACTTCTTAGTTTCATCATCCCTTACAAATTAATTAGTCCTTAAATTCTTCTGTGCCAGGTATTTTGCCAAATGTTTATATGTGTTGTCTCCTTAATCTTCTGGAATAAGTATTTTCTCATAGATGAGTAGAGCAGTTAAACTGTAAGTCTGTGGTCCCCAACCGCTGGGCTGTGGACTGGCATCAGGCTAGTGGCACCCACAGCAGCTCCCCATCGCTCGTATCACCGCCCAAGCCTCCTCGCCTGAGATCAGCAGGGGCATCAGACCCTCACAGGAGCACGAAACTGCATATTTAAGGGATCCAGGTTGCAGCACTCCCCATGAGAATCCAACACCTGATGATCTCAGGTGGAGGCAAGGTGGCCCCCTCCCCACCCCAACATCTGTGGAAAAACTGTCTCCCACAAAACCGGTCCCTGGTGTCAAAAAGGTTAGGGACCATGCTTGCTTCACAGCATATATACTAAAATTGGAACGATACAGAGAAGATGAGCAAATTTTTTAAAAATTAAATAAATAATAAAAAGGTTGGGGACCGCTGCTCAAAAGTCACAGGCTAGTGTGTGACCAAGCCTAGATTCAAGCCCCAAGTCTGAGTCCGAAGCCTAAATTAATCACTACACAATTCGTCTAAAGGCAGTAGGTTCTGTCTCTTTACTGTTAACTTTTGATTAGGTTTTAAGCATATATTTGGGGGAGAATTACTTCATGCAGGTCCATCCAAGGAGTTGCTTGTTTTCTTTTAGCCTAAGGGTGGCAGTGGTAAATTCTCATGACTGAGGCTTATGAATCCTTTATATAGTGCAGTGGGTATTTTCTCATAATCTATGATATTAACTTCTTACCATTGCCACTAATGACCTGACATTCTGGATTGTTTTATACCAGGCTTTCTTCGAGAGTCACCCAGCTCCGTCAGCTGAGCGTACCATCCAGCAGTGTTGTGAAAATATCCTGCTGAATGCTGCTTGGCTAAAGCGAGATGCTGACAGCATCCACCAGTACCTCCTTCAGCGAAAGGCCTCACCACCCCCAGTGTGAACCCCGGGCATGGCCCGCTGCGTTCTGCTGCTTCGCTACAGGGACAAGGTGGAGCTAGCGAACAGCTGATTAATATGCCAAGAATTTGGAGTCTTCTTTCAAACCAGTGGGGGTTGGACAATGAATGTAGTTAACTGGTTCCTGCTCACACTCCAGAATTAAATTTTATTGAAAATGGAAAATCAGCAATTCAGCAAAAAAATAAATAAATAAAAATGTAAATATGATAGTAATAAATAGAGCATAACAAAACTGTGAAACTTTCTGAAGCCTTGTCAGTGGTTAAAAGTATTTAACACTCTCCTGTTAATGACAGATATTCTGTTTTTATAACCTACGAAAAGGAAACTAGAGGCTTCTGGGTGAAGAGGATTTTTGTGAAGAGGGTTCTGCAAGCACCCTGCAAGCCAAGGGTATTGCCCATTGCTGGGAATGGTTAAATACAAAAGGCTGATAGCTGGTATAACATAGTCAGAGTCTGTGCATAATTCCAAATGGGTTGTTTTTTGGCATGGGGACTGACCAGGAAGATATATTTTCCTGCATAACTCAATCTGTACCAAGGATTGTAGTTTTTTCCTCCTTGCCTCTTGCCTTCCCCTCTGTGTGACCCCTTGGTCCCTCCTTCCCCCCAAAAAAAAGATTTAAAAAAAAAACTGCCCTGTTCTGTGTTTTTTCCTCCCTTTAGTTCAACCCTCAACTGTCATCCCCGGTGTCCTTCTTAGAGATAAATAATAAGGAAACATCTTTCAGAGCCACATTAAATAAGAGAAATTGATATACATTATTTTTTTTCTTTTTAAAGATGACTTTTAGGAACCCTGAAATACATATAGGTGAGACAACAGAAATAAAAAGATCTTCAGCCAGGGCTTTCTGAAGGATTTACTCTGCTAAAAATGGTCTTAGTTGTCTAACAAGCCAACTATTGAACATCTTCATGACAGTATCATGCTGGCTCCTGGTTCATTTTGTGTGTGTAAGAAGTCAGTGGTAACTGCTGCAGGGCCTATACAGTAGTGGTAACTGGTTTAAAAAGACTGTAAGCCTGTGTGCGCCACACTTTGCTTCAACGGTATATCCTACTAACAAGCCTCACCTATCCAGTGAGTTTTAGCTGCAAATCTCGTTCCCTTCCTCTTTCCCTACCTTTTTTTTCTTTCTTTTTCCTTTTGTTTTTCTTTAAAAATTTTTTTGTGTTATTAACAGAAATTCATATTTGGTGTGGCTTAACTGTATTTCAGAAGGTCATCAGATTGTGAGATTGCTTCCTTGAAACATTTTTGTGCTATTGTTTTAAAAAAATAATAATTAAAAAACAGTTGGCGTTAATAAAAATGTCAATGTGAAATTGATGTCCTGATTTCTTTCATTGAGAAGAAACTGAAAGATTTCCTATCATTCTGTAGGATTATACTAAGTTTTACTACCATAGGATTTTTCAAGTTCAAGAAAATCCGGTTCCTGAATTCCTAATGACTAGATCCTAAGCAGAAGAATCCTGAGATTCCTTCTAGATTCTCAAAACCTCTCAGAGACCCTGACAGTCGGCATTCAGGAGTTAACTTGAGACTTACTCCAGTCGCATTTTTTGAAGTACCCTTGTCCAGGTGCCACGCTCAGGGCTAACCTAGAGGCTATAAAGACATGTGCTTAAGGCACCAGCAAAGCAGTGGCACCAAAAAGACTGAGAAAAATGCAGCTTTAACTGGAGAACTCACAGAATTTTGCAATCAAATTCTGGAAAGAAGTTATTTTAGTTTCAGCATACATGCAATTTTTGCATATAATAGTGTTTAAGTAGGCCAGGCACAGTGGCTCAAGTCTGTAATCCCAACACTTTGGGAGGCTGAGGTGGGAAGATCACTTGAGGCCAAGAGCTTGAGACCAGCCTGGCAACATAGTGAGACCCCGTCTCTACAAAAAATAAAAAATTAGTCAGGCGTGGGGACACACACCTTTAGTCCTAGCTACTCAGAGGCTGAGGTGGGAGGATCACTTGAACTCGGCAGTTCCAGGTTACAGTGAGCTATGAGCATGCACCTGCACTCTAGCCTGGGTGACAGAGTGAGACCGTTTTTTTTTTGCAAGGCAAGCACGAAACTAAAGTTCATTGAGGAAGAGCAAGATAGGTTTGCCACAGACGACGAATGAGGCCCCCTGTCCCCTGTCCTAACAAGAAGCTGAAGCTGTTTTAAAAAGAAAAAAACAGTAGTTCGAGTGATGGGGAGAAGTTGAGCTGGATATTTCCCATTGCCCTTTCAGAACCATTCTTCATGCCGCTCTGGACCCCGAGGTGCTGACCCACATGGTCTCCAAGCTTCCCTTGCCCTCCACCTGCAGGTTGTGTTTATCCAATTAGTAAAACGTGAAGATCAAAAGGCATGAGGAAGGGATGGTCAGAGTATTTATTCTCCTGGCTTTCTCATTGCCAGGTCACATTGGTTGTCCATGTCCCTCTATCAAAGACATCTTGTATCAAGCAGCCCCCTCTAGCGTCTCGCTCCTGCCCTTTGCCTGTTGACATCTAGGGATGGAAGGGACTACTCCTTACTAGCTCTAGATTACTCCTTGTTTGCTTCCCCTGAACTCGGCCCATGTCTATGCAAATAACCCCTTTATTAAACCTTCCTCAGTTTGTGTTCTCTTTCCTACTAATACCATGATCAGTTTGGGTACCATAGCCCTGATGCTTTGAGTCTCCAAAGGTCTTAATCCAGCCATTTCTATGTCAGATGTTTTGCTAAATTATTACCTTTCAAATAGCTCCCTGTCATATAAGTAATGTACCCATTTTACAGATAAGAAAGCCAGCTCAGAAAACCTAAGTAAATTAGTTATTCAGCAAATAACTATAAGAACCAGTGATCAACCCAGGCTTGCCAGTCTCCGAAACCTGTGTTCTTCCAGGTCACGTCTCCACAATTAGAAGACGGTACAGTCAGACTGGGCCAGGCAATAGCTTTAAAGATATTTAATGATTTTTCCTAATACTTTGGGTAAAAAATTTTAGTGGAAATCAGGTTTGAAAGAAACACAAATGTGTTAATGCTTCCTATAGAGTTTTACGTTATTTTCTATTAATGAGAATCAGTAAAGCCTTTTGAAACTGGGCAGTAGTGGGTGAATTCTTAACTTGGGATTTGTAAGGATGGGTTTCAGGAAGCAAGAAGGGTATTTTTCTGTTGTGTGTAATTGGAAATAGAAGGACCTCTATAGTTTTAAATAGATTCTTCAAACTCTATAACCCAAAACCTTTTTTTTAAATAGATTTAGGGGGTACAAGTTGTTTTTTTGTTACATGGCTAAATTTCATAGTTGAAAAGTCTAGGCTTTCAATATACCTGTCACCTGAATAGTGTACATTGTACCCAATAGGTAATTTTCATCCTGCACCTCCCCTACCACTCTCCCCCGTCTTGAGTCTCCAGTGTCTATTAAATCACTGTATGACCATGCCTACCTACTGCTGAGCTCCCGCTTATAAGTGAGAATGTACAGTATTTGGGTTTTTTTGTTCCTGAGTTACTTCACTTAGAATAATGGCCTCCAGTTCCATCCAAGTTGCTGTAAAAGACGTTATTTCATTCTATTTGATGGCTGAGGAGTATTCCATGGTGTGTGTGTGTGTGTGTGTGTAATACACACCATATTTTCTTTATTCACTCATTGGTTGGTGGGCATTTAGGTTGGTTCCATATCTTTGCAATTATGAATTGTGCTGGGATGAACTTTTTAGAATGTTATCAGAAAGATTTCTTGGATAGGAATGATCGTATGTGGGAAATAAATTTTTAAAAATAGAAAAAAAAAGACTTCATGGAGCCACATGTGAGGGCTAGTGATTTTTTTTTTCTTTTTTTTTTTGGCAAGTCGGTAAATAAAAGCAAGCTTTTGGTAATATGTTTATAGTGCTGAATTTATACTTGCAGCATCTTTTTTTGTCCCCTTGATCAAATAGCTCAGATTGTATTTACGGCATCATTTTTTACTAAATATATTGCCCGATGAGAACTGAACCTGTTACTAGATACTAGTTTTAGGGTTTCAGAGTTGGTTTGTCTTATAAGACTATCTTTTGCAATAATGCCAAATACCCACCCAAGAAGGAACATGCCTTCTTGTACCAACCCTGGTGCAAGCAAAGTGACTGAGGTGTTGGTTTCAAATGCAAGAATAGGTGACACTGATGTTAACAAAACATTGGGCCAAACAACTGCTTTCCCTATGAAACCAAATCAGAGGCTTGGTGGTTTTACCACTAAGTTTGATGGCAAACGTTGTGATAGATGGCAGCGTCAGATGAAGGGAGGTTGACTGGGTTGCTACTGCCATTTATAAACTCTGACTGCTCCCGCAATTCCATTGCTGGTATCTTGCAGCTGTAGCTTTCACTATTGAACTTCTGTTTCCAACACTGGGGAGGAATTAGCAGCAAAGAAGGAGCATAGTTTACTATCATAATCTGTGCTTTCTCAGGGAGGTTGCCAGCAGCTGACAGCAGATACGCTGTACACATCAATTAAGATGATAACCAAGAAGAAAAAGATAATAACCAAATCTTGCCATGGTTTGGCTGACGCTACCAGTATGTTCCTCTGAGACATCCCCTCACCCCCACCCTAAATAACCTTAACTTTTATCAATTTGACAAATTGTGCAGGTGTATTACATTACATTGCAATTTCAGTCCATTCTTCATTTATTAGGGTACCGATTACCTTGCATTAGTTGTACTAACCTTCTGGATGTTCTCTTCCTGCTTATTTATTAGCTTGCACTTCTGAAGAAGGTACGGAGAAGAAAACAATCAGTTTACTGAGTGGCTAATAGGTTAATGGAAGAAGTCTCAAGAACACAATACAAAATAATGGAGGAGAGATGGAGAGAATTTATAAGAAAATGTACAAAGCACTTAAAACATTTGAGATGAATGAGATGGCTGTAGCTTTCTTTTTTTTTTTTTTTTTTTTGCTTAAGACAGGGTCTCACTCTCGTTACATGGGCTGGAGTGCAGCAGTGTCAGCCTAGCTCACTGCAACCTCCAACTCCTGGGCTCAAGCGATCCTCCTGCCTCAGCCTCTCGAGTAGCTGGGTCTACAGGTATGCACCACCACGCCCAGCTAATTTTTCTATTTTTTTGTAGAGATGGGGTCCTTTGCTATGTTGTTCAGGCTGGTGTCAAACTCCTGGACTCAAGTGATCCTCCTGCCTCAGCCTCCCAAAGTGCTAGGATTACAGGTGTGAGCCACCACGCCCGGTCGGCTGTTGGTTTTCTAACAGGTCAGTTCCCTCTTCTATCATTGGAGTACTTGAAAGTCAGGAGAATGTAAAGGGACTCGGTAGGATGAAGTTAATGCTGTGGCCTTTACAAGCATAAAGAAGTGCCTCTCCTGCTTCATTCTTATAACACTCATGGGTTTGATAGAGTATCTCTTGGTATCTCTGTCGGATGAACAACAAAACAGTACATGACTTACATCTCTTGGCTGCCAAATCTGGGCTTCTCTCTCCACCCCCGCTGACATTCTTATTTCTTTCTTTTTTTTTTTAGGCTGGTCAAGTAGAGCAGTGGGGACACTCTTATTTCTTATTCCCAGCAAATGGAAGGTTCTAGACCTGTATGTCCAATACAGTAGCTACTAGCCATATGTAGCCATTTAAATTAATTAAAATAAAATAAAAAATTGCTTAGTTGCACTAGCCACATATCAAGTGCTCAGTAGCCACATGTGGCTGGCTAGTGGCTGCTGTATTGGGCAGCACAAATGCAGATCATATCCATCACTGAAGAAAGGTCTCTTGGACCACCCTGTTCTCTACATCCAATATATGCAAATGTATTTTTTGTTTAGGGTTGAAAATAGTTACATAATATGTGTTTTTCTTTACCAATCTCATTGTAACAATTTGCTGTTAATCTAGGAACATTGTATCACTAATCCCTAATCATTTAAAACTTTTATTTCTTTTCTTGAATTTTCTACATTTTCTAAAAATTGAAGGAAAAAAATAGAAAGCGACTATCTCTTTTTACAGATTCACCTCCCAGAGACAATCATGATTAACAGGTAAGTTCGGGGCATATTCTCCCAAGCTATGTTTTTATGCTCTGCATGTTGAGTATTTTTAGTAATGAAGATAGGCTGTACCCCCTTTGCTTGCCCCTCTGCAGGACCAGTACCACATATTTTCAGTTGCCTTATGAAGCTAAGTATGCCAGGCTCAGACCTGCCCCCCGTGATGTCACGTTCTAAGTCACGAACCTAATCACCAAAGACTACTTGTGAACAAAGTAGCAGCTGGCAAATGCACACCTTGAGAAGCGTTTATTCCTTGCTTAGATTCATTAATT